GTTTTGACATAATTTAGGGTTTAATTTTTGTCCTATTTCCTCTTTTGTCTGTTTTGTCATGCTCCATAGTCCCCGTTCAGGCTTTTTTTCTGGTTGGAAATAGTTCAGGGCTGGCTGTGGCCTTTTGGTTTTAATTGGAAACTGTCTCTTTAAATTTTGAGGAGATCTGTGCTCATGTGTAGTAGAACCCTCTGAGGGTGGGGCTGGGAGCCCACTAGCTCAGGCACCCCTATAGTCACCAGAATGGAGGTGCGCAGACAGCAAAGGACCAATAAACAGATACCAAAAGAAAAGAATGTCCACACCTTTATCTCATTGGTTCTGCCAGGCATCTGTGGCCGCTCTGATCCTTCCCCCACGTTGTCTCACCCAAGATGGCAGCTCCTAGAGCAGCTGAGCGTCCCGGACTAGAAAGCAATAGATTTCTTGCTTCAGCCACAAATTCCCCCAGCTGTGAGCCTTCCAACCTTCTAAATATTCCTTTATATGTGGTTCAGCATTCTGGGACCAGCCCCTGAGCCTGCTTGGTTGGGTATTCTTTGTTGTTGTTGGCGGAGCTCCTTTACTGCACTTCCACCCGATCCGCCATTTTGTTTGTTCCCAATAGAAGTTGAGTATTCTATTTCTAATTGTTTTTCACCATAAGGGTGGCACTTTAAACCCACCAGCTACTCCTGTGGAAAAAGACAAGGTTTTCAGCTCCCATAGAGATTTACAGCCTTGGAAACCCACTACAAGGTTTCTATGAGCTGAAATGGACTCGATTGCGATGGGTTTCATTTATCTGTTTTTATTTACCTTTTTATTGATTTGTGAATAATTATATTAACTATTATTGAGTTGCATATCTGTAGTAGGCACTAAAATTTTCCCAAGAACTCTTTGTAGCCATTTTATTCCTTTTCTATACATGTGAGACTCAGAGAAATTATATAAGTTAAGATTTGAACAAAGTTCTCTTTGATTATAAGGTCTTATTTCCATTGTCAAAGCTTAAGCTAAGTTTGACTTTCTGATATGAACTGTTGCATGTATGAAGTAAACATTTTCTTATGAAATACTAAACATGCTACTAATTATATACATATAAAAATCAGTATCCTAGGCATTAGTGAGCTGAAATGGACTGGTATCAGCCATTTTGAATCACAGTCACATGGTTTACTATGCCTGGAATGACAAATTGAAGAGGACTGGTGATGCATTCATCATCAAAAAGAACATTGCAAGATCTATCTTTTCAGTACAACGGTGTCTGTGATAGGATAATATCCACACACCTATAAGGAAGACCAGTTAATAAAGCTATAATTCAAATGTATGCACCAGCCACTAAAGTCATGATGATGAAATTGAAGAATTCTACCAACTTCAGTCTGAAATTGATCAAGCATGCAATCAAGATGTATTGATAATTACTGGTGATTAGAATGCAAAGGTTGGAAACAAAAAGGAAAAATCAGTTTTTGGAAATTATGACCTTGATGGTAGAAACAATGCAGGAGATCACATGGTAGAATTTTACAAGACCAATGACTTCTTCATTGCAAATACCGTTTTTAAACAATGTAAAAGATGACTATACGCATGGCCCTCACCAGTTGGAATTCACAGAAATCAAATTGACAACATCTGTGCAAAGACATAGTGGAAAAGCTCCATATCAACAGCCAAAACAAGGCCAGGGGCTGACTGTGGAACAAACCATCAATTGTTCATAAGCAAGTTCAGGCTGAAGCTGAAGAAAAGTAAAGCAAGTCCATGAGAGCCAAAATAAGACCTTGAATATGTCCCACTTGAATTTAGAAATCATCTCAAGAATAGAGTTAATGAATTAGACACTAATGACCAAAGACCAGAAGTGTTGTGGGAAGATATCATGAACATTATACAGAAGAAAAGCAAAAGGTCATTAAGAAGGCAAGAAAGAAGGAAAAGAACAAAGTGGGTGTCAGAAGAGACTCTGAAACTTGCTGTGCAGTGTAGAGCTGCTGAGGCAAATGGAAGAAATGAGATAAAGGAGCTTAATAGAAAATTGCAAAGGGCAGCTTGAGAAGACAAAGTCAAATGTTAAAATGAAATATTGTGCAAAGACCTGGAGTTAGAAAATCAAAAGGGAAACACACTCATCATTTCTCAAGCTGAGGAAACTGATGAAAAAATTCAAGCCTGAACTTGCAATATTGAAGGATTCCTTGAGAAAAATATTGAAGGATCCAGAAAGCATCAAAAGATGGAAGAAATACACAGAATCACTGTACCAAAAAGAAATGGTCGATGTTCAGCCATTTCAACAGGTAGCATATGATCAAGAGCCAATGATAATGAAGGAAGAAATCCAAAGTGCACTGAAGGTATTGGCAAAGAACAAGACTCTGGGAGTTAACGGAATGCAAATTGAAATCTTTCAACAAAATAATGTGGCACTGGAAGCACTCACCCATCTATGCCAAGAAAATTAGAAGACAGCTACCTGGCCAACTGATAAGAAGAGTTTTATATTTGTGCCTATTTCATAGAGAGGTGACTCAACCAAATGTACAGATGGGTCTTAGCTGAAAACAGAGAACACCAGAAATGTTTACCTGTCCTTGATTGACTACACAAAAGCTCAAAACTTTCAATTGTGTGGATCATGACAAGCTATAGACAAATTGTGGAGAATGAGTATTTCAGAACACTTAATTGTGCTCATGAAGAACCTATACAGAGATCAAGAGGCAGTTGTTAAAACAGAACAGGGAACACTGAATGGTTTTAAAATTAAGAAAGTGTGTGCCATACTTACTCAACCCTGTGTGCTGAGCAAATAATCCAAAAAGCTGGATTATATGAAGAAGAACATGTCATCAGGATTGGAGGAAAATTCATTAATAACCTGTGATATGAAGATGATACAACCTTACTTGCTGAAAATTAAGAGAACTTAAAATACTTATTGATGAAGATCACAGCCTTTGGTATGGGTTGCACATCAATGTAAAGAAAACAAATATCCTCACTACTGGACCAATAAATAACATCAACACAAATGGAGAAAAGATTGAAATTGTCAAAAGACTGCATTTTGCTTGGATCAACCCTCAATCCTCATGGAAGCAGCAGTCAAGACATCAAATGATGTATTGCATTAGGCAGATCTGTTGCACAAGACCTCTTTAAAGTGTTGAAGAGCAAAGGTGTCAGTTTGAGGACTATTGCATCTGACCCAAGCCGTGGTATTTTCATATGCATGTGAAAGTTGAACAGTGAAAAAAGAAAACCATAGAAGAATTGATGTGTTTGAGTTATGGTATTGGAGAAGACTATTAAAAATGCCATGGACTGTCAAAAGAACAAACAAATCTGTGTTGGAAGAAGTACAGCCAGAATTCTCCTTAGAAGCCACAATGGCCAGACTTTGTCTCTCATATTTGGGGCATATTTTCAGGAGGATAATATGGTAAAGGACATCATGTTTGATAAAGTGGAGGTCTGCAAAAAAGAGGAGTGAGATGAATTGCCACAGTGGCAGCAGCGATGGGCTCTAGTGCAGCAGTGATTGTGAGGTTTGTGCACGACTGGGCAGTGTTTCATTTTGTTCACTGAGTTGGTACAGACTCACTGGTGCCTTACAACAACAATAATAATATTCTACCAATGGTTTGTAGTCCTGGTGGGGCACTATAAAGGGTAAGCACTGGAGTGCTAACTGCAAGGTCAGCTGTTAAAACACGCCTGCTCTTCAGAAATCCTATACATTATCGCTGTGAGTTGGAGCTGATTTGATGACACTTAACAACAACAACTAATGGCACTAAGGATCGCTCATTGCACAGTGGGCAAGCACTCTGCTGTGAGCATAAAGGTTGGTAGTTCTAGCCCACCAGCTACTCTGAAGGAGAATGATGTGACAGTCTGCCTCCCTAAAGATTTATAGTCTTGGAAATCATGTGGGGCACTCCTGTAGTGTTCTACAGGGTTGCTATGTATTGGAATTGACTTGATGGATATGTGTTTATTGTTTTTATGTTTTTTATTAATAGCTTTCTTTTTTATGTTACTAATGACCCCCAATGAGATGGATTGGCCAAGTGACAGCATCAATGGACTCAAGCATGGCAACAGTAGTGAGGTTAGCCCAGGATCGGGCAGTGTTTCGTTGCTATCAGTTGGTACTGACTTGATGCCACCTAAGAATAACAACACCAACAACAATGGCTCACATGCTGCTGTTTAGTCGGTTCCAACTTATTGACCCTGTAGGACAGAGAAGGCATCTAAAGGAACATAAATTGCTAAGTGAACTAATTAACTGAGTTTTAGTTTTCTCACATGCAAAATGAATGTAATAGTCCAATTTCCCTAAGGTTTAGGAATATATGTGAGAAGGTAGACATACAATGGAGTCCTGGTGTGGCATTGGGGGTTCACGCACCAGATTGCAAAGCCACTTGAACTGCAAGGTCAGTGGTTCAAGCTCACCAGCTGCTCCTTGGAAACCCTATACACGGCTGCTATGTGTGGGAACTGACTCGATGGCACTTAACAACAGCAACAAAACATACAATAAATTAAGACTGTTATTCAGTGCCGTGTATTGGTTCTGACTCATAACAGCTCTGTATAGGGTTTCCGAGGAATGGTTGGTGGATTTGAATCGCTTTCCTTGTGGTTAGCAGTCCAGTGCTTATCCTACAGTGCCTGACCAGGACCCCAAGTTAAGACTAAGGTCTTGTTATTTTCTTGAGTAAATTATTTTATTGCCTTTAACTTGTATCGCTCAGGTGTTCTAGATTTTCTTTATTAATGTCATGAAAACTATTTTGAGAAATCTGATAATGTTTTGATTTTTAGATACTCAATAATATATATTCTAAATAATTTTCTTCTTTCTAAATTTAAATTTCTAACAGCATTTAGTTTCTTTCCAATGAAACAACTCATTTTAGAATTAATAATTCATTATCAGTTGCTGGTTTTCTAAGATAGACTTCTTTGAATTTTAACCTCCATTTTCCTTTTTTGATTTGTACCTTCTTTGTCCTTTTTTATTAATATAGGAAACACAATACAGTGCAGTATAATAGTGGCATTGATATATGTAAATATTTACATTTGCATATTTAAATGTCATTGCGATATATCACTGCATTCATTTTATTCAGTTGCATTGTGATTTTCCTCGATTATTGGTACAATAGCATACAGGTTTTTTGTTAGAAGGTTAGCAGTCCAGTGCTTATCCTACAGAGCCACAGTACTCTCTAGTTACCAATGCTATCTATTATAAAAGGCTATTATAAAAATTTTTAGTTTCTGTTGGTGCAAAATGGCATGGAGGCCAAATCTGTTCACCTCAGACTTCACAAGGGAGGAGAATCAAACTCCACATTCGCCCAAGACTGATTCCTATGAGACAGAAGACAGACATGCCTCCGACCTCCAACCTTCGCTACCCAATCCTGATACCGACCATCCCTTTATTTGTCTGGTGGGTTCAATAATCTGCTGTAGTGGCCACACAGAATTTACAGATAATACCCACAATCATGGGGTTTATTAGGAAAGTTGTTGTTATTGCTGTTGCTAAGTGCTATTGAGTCTGTTCTGACTCATAACAAATCTGTATAGGGTTTCTGAGAAGTGGCTAGTGAGTTTGAACCTCTGACCTTGCTGTTCGCACTGACCTTGGGGTCCAGTGCATTATCTCACAGTGCCACATGTTATTAGGTGCCATCAAGTCAGTTCTGATTCAAAGCAACCTTATGTATAGCAGAACAAAACACTGCTTCCCCACTACCCCCAGTCCTGGACCAACCAGATAATTGTTAACAATTGTGGAAAGTTAACAGAGTGTAATTCAAGATCAGAAACTACTCAGGATACAGCAGCAATCCTAATAGGAGTGCTTCTTCTCAGCAGTGCCTTAGCATGCCTCTCTCAGGTCCGCGGCCTCTCAGCCATTTGGCCTCTTGACCTCCACCCTACTCCAACAAGTATTGTAGGCTGATGAATGCCCAGAAGCATTCAATTCTGCAAGCCAGCCCCCTGCCTAAAGGTGCTCAGCTTTTCTCATTCCTAGGGCCAGGAAGCTCATTGCTTTGTCTCTCTATGCTGCCACCTCTGCGGCCACTGCTTCTCTGCATGGAGATCTTGAGGTCCAAGACATTTTCCGCTCATGAGTCCTTTTTCTTGATAGCTCACCAGCCGTTTGACATTTAACAGCAACAACAGCATAGTTGGTGAAATTAGTATCCGTAGATCTCTGCAGGTTGCAAAATTGTATAGTCACAAAGGCCTGAATTAATAGTACCACCATTATCCACAAGGTGGGGCTGATTTTCTAGAAGTCCACGTATGCATACTATGCTTGAGAAATAGAGTTAACAAAGAATATTCCGTTATAGATATCTCTCCAAGTGTGATTTTTGGGAGTTGCTAGTCACTAAAATTTATTTCTATTTATAAAGTCTAGTATCTTCCCAAAGATTGATTAGATTATAAAGCAGAATATCATTTAATTATTAATGCAATGTATCACATGTAAATAGCTAACTGCTAAAATGTCTTAAATATGTATTATAATAAAATAAGACAAAATATTTTAGGAACAAACATTAGATATGGTTTATAGTTCTAAGCTCTGAATGAATCAATGACAACAACACTATAATTTTTATATGATTGTTTTAAGCGTACTAGAATATAAAACATAACTTTTCCTGGTTTATTATACTCAAAGTTCCCAAGCCTAGATGAAAAGTGTTTTTGTGCTTTATTATGGATAAAATAGACTTAAAAAATGCAAAATAGCTGTAGCGTAACTATTAAAAAAATGCCAGCTTTGAGCATTGGGCTCTTTTAAAAACAAACTATATGTGATCAAAGTGACAGTAGGGGGCATGAGTTTATGTTCATGGGGAGGAACAATTCAGAAAAGCTGGTGAGAACAGATGCACGACTTAAAGAATGTAAATCAGTCTCACTGAATTATACATGTAGAACCTGCTGAATTGGTGGCATCATCTCAACAATAACAAAATAAAAAAAGAACCCCTAAAATGAACACTCCAAAAAACAACAAACAAAAAGCAAATTCTGCAACCAAAATGCCTGGTTTCAAGTCCGGCTATGCTATTTATAAGAATGGTATGGGGCTGTTGTTGTCTTCCTCTAACCTCATGAGAGCGAGAGAGAATCACCATCAGCATCAACCCAAGGCTGATTCCTATGAGGTAGAGGTCAGCTATGCCTCCAGCCTCCTATGTTTTTACCAATTCTAATACCAGCTGTCTCTCCCATGGCACTCTTTATTTCTCTGCAGGGTTTGATAATTTGTTGCAGCGTCAATACAGAACCCACAGCTAACACTCACAATTATAGGGTTTATTAGAAGGTGCAGGTTCCAATTCAGGATTAAGGACATTTAGGAAACAGTTCTTTGATCAGGACAGCCTCTTCTAAGCAGTGCCCACAGGCATACCTCTCTCCACTCCGGGCTCTTGAACTGGCCTGGTCCCTGCTTGAGCAAGTATTACTAATCTATTTAAACTCTGCCAGTAAGTGTTCAAGGGCACTTCACTATCCCAGCAAACCTCCTGTCCAAAGAAACTCAACTTCCTTGTTCCATGGGCCGAGAAACCCACTGCACTGTCTCCTGCTTCTTCTGCCTCTCTTACCATTGCTTCTTGGCCACTGCATCCCATTGTCTCCCTCTAGCTCCAGTGCCACAGCTCTCTATCCCCTGGGTAAAGTAGGTCCAGCACAGTGATTTTGGACGGAAAGGATATGCTTCACTCTTAGCTCTTCTTTCATGGTGATAGAGAATTCGCCCTTTCCGCCTCTGGGATGATTCATTTTAGGCCTCAGAGCGGCAAAACTAACCAGCTCCCATGTTAGGGTTCCATGCACCTTATTTGCATAGTCCCACCCCAATGTGCATGTCATGTACCTTATTTATTTTAGTAACAGCCTATCCAGTCCTCTTGGTGGGTGATAAACACCTCTTATTTGTATAGTCCTTCCCAGTCTGGTGTCCTGCTTGGCGCTATAGGGTAAGCACTCGACCTTAAGGTCGGTTTGTACTACAAGGTCGGTGGCTCAAACTCACCAGCCACTCTTCGGAAACCCTATTCAGGGTCACTATGAGTCAGAACCAACTTGATGGCATTTAACAGCAACAACAACCCAGTCTGGTGTGGCACTATAGGATAAGCATTGGACTGCTAGCCACAAGGCTGTCAATTCGCACTCACCAGGCACTCCTCGGAAACCCTATACAAGGAAGGTGCTGTGAGTTGGAAGTGACTTAACAGCAACAACATCCCAGTCATACAGTAGGAGTTACAAAGATGATTACCATGAGATCATATTAAGTAGTTAAGGAGCTCTGGTAGCGTAGTGGTTACGAATCGGGCTGCGAACCTTAAGGTCAGCAGTTTGAAACTACCAGCCGCTCCGCGGGAGAAAGATGAGGCTTTCTACTCCCGTAAAGATTTACACCCTCGGAAACCCTGTACAGGGTCGCTATGGGTCGGAACCGACTCGACGCACTTAACAACAACAACATATTAAGTAGTTTAGTACACTGCACTATTTTGCTGGCTGTTGGTTCTGAAACATGTTACTTAACCTTTCTGCATCTCAGTTTTCTTTAAAATGGAGATGACAATAGTACTTCCTCTTAGGGCTATTGTGAGGATATAGTAAACATATACGCATAAAACAAAAGTGTTCAGTTTTTAAAAGTACTCAAATGTTAACAGCAGTTAACACCACCACCAGCAAATTAGCTATTACTGGAGTCTTGGTGTGGCGCTGTAGGATAAGCACTAGACCACAGGTCGGTTTGAACCTCAAGGTTGGCAGTTCAAACTCAACATCCACTCCTCGGAAACCGTATACAGTGTTGCTATGAGCTGAAACTGTCTCATTGGCACTTAAAAACAACAACAAATTAGCTATTATTAATGGGGAGTCCTGGTGTGCCAGACTGCAAAGCTGTTTGAACAGCAAGGTCAGTGGTTTCCTCGGAAACCCTATATAAGGTCACTATGGGTCGGAACCGACTCAACGTCACTTAACAGCAACCACGCTATTCATTTATAAATTGAAGTTTGAATAACTGACCGGGATATTTCCCCAAAACATAGTTTCAAAAGTATTCTACCCATTATTATGTGTTCTAGTACATACAGAATAATATATTCATTTTCAGTGTGGTGTATCTTCTGGTATCTGAAGATGGTGTTTTGTTATGTTATGCATAGGTCACTATGAGTTGGAATTGACTCATTGGCACCTAACAACAACAAAGAAAATATTTGTAGCTATAAAGAAACATTCCTTCCAAAATATTTTATTATTTTTTGGGTGAAGGCTGTAGCCAAAAGTTAGTTTAAAGCATGAAGCTTATATGATTTGTATTCATTTTAGCATTCTAGTTTAGTAGTTTTGCGCACACTGATGTAATGGTATATGAAAAGTAGGCAAGAGACTGACTATATCAAGGTGGCATTTAATGTTGTTGTTGTTATAGTTAAGTACCGTCAAGTTGATTCCGACTCATAGTGACCCTGTATAGGGTTTCCAAGGAGCAGCTGGTGAGCTTGAACCACCAACCTTGTAGTTCAAATGACTTTGCAGTCTGAAGCATTAGCCCATAGCCTCACACCAGGGCTCCAACATTTAATTGTTGTTGTTAAGTGCCATCGAGTTGGTTCCAACCCATAGCGATCCCGAACAGGGTTTCCGAGGCTGTAAATCTTTACGGGAGCAGAAAGCCTCATCTTTCTCCCGCGGAGCAGCTGATAGTTTCGAACTGCTGACCTTGCGGTTCACAGCCCGATTTGTAACCACTACGCTACCCTAAAATTAATTAAAATAGACATGGAGGAGAAGTACCTTGAGTTATTACCATGTGCAAAAGTATTAGAGTGGTCTCATAGCAGCTCAGTATGAGTTAATGCAATGTAGTTGCCAAAACTGCTGAAATCCTCACTTGCATTAACAGGAGGATGGCTATGGGAATGGACTCCGAGTCCAGAACCCGGATACTGTACACATGATGACCTTCTCTTGTCAGTTAGCAGATTCTCTGCAAATGCCCAGATCCCATTCTTAGCTTGCTACCATCTTTACTTCCCAGTAGTGGTGACCAGAGGGGAACCTAGAGCAGCCCAGGATACACAGGTATTGGCTGAATCTCTCAGCGTGTTCTTTTAGCAACCAGTTGACTTGCCCACATCAGATGCTCCACACAGGTTTTTGAAAATGATGAAGTTACTCGCTTGTCCACATCCAAGGTCATGGCCACTCTCCTCCACTGGACTCTCTCTGACTCCAACTGCTTCCACCTGGTGTTCAATCCTGGTCTTTGTGTCTGGAGCTTTTGAAATTAACAGTATATTTTGTATCTTTTTTAGGAGAAATGAATCAGAAGTACAAGGAGCTAAAAAAAAGGGAGGAAAATATGGACAGTAAGTTGTAAACTCATAGATACTGTATTTTTAGATTCATTTATACCAAATCATAGATCTCATTTGGGGGAAATATAATGACTGATACTAAATGCTGAAGTGTGGGCTTTCAACGTTTACTCGTATTGTTAAGGACAGAACACTTACGGTTTAAAGGTTTGAAAGTATGTAGAACTAGTCTTATTAAGCAATTTACATTCAAGCTAATAAAAACAGTGGAAGTTGAGAATTTATGTTTGCTTCAAATTGTTAAATAGCACTCTTAAGATGTACAAATCAGAGTTTACATAGTATTAGCTTTATCAACAGTAGCCTTTCTTATCATGTTTATTAATCGGCAGGTTTTATTGAGACTTTTGAGGAAACTAAGAATCAGGAACTGGAACGGAAGGTACAAGTAGAAACCAGCATTGTTGCGCTTTTGGAGCATTGCAGCCGAGTGAGTACCTTGTGCCCATCTTGGTGCCCCATTGTTTTTGCTGTGACCGCCTTTCCAAATACAACTCAAAACGTAGAACAACTCACCAATGATAGCTGCTCATTTCAGCTATTTCAGTTACATTTTTCTTTCTCATTATTTTGTTCCTTTAAGTTATTAATTTGTATCTCCCTAGTAAGTAAGCTAATTAGCAATAAGGGAAAAGGATGACATATATGTAACATCAATATTTAGTACCATAAATAGGTACTAATTCAGCCTAAATCTGAAGTTTTTCTTCTATTATGAACCATTCTAAACTTGTAGAAATAATATTTGCTCAGATAATTTCAAAATCAAGATGTGATTGAAAATGTTAACAGAATTTTACACTGTACATAGATAACCCATTTTTACATTGTACCTAGAAAGAATTCTATGTTTGCTTAATAAGTATCTTGTTTCATCAAAAAAAAAAATGTTTAATATACATCTACCATAGGAGGAAAAACATATGGTCCCTTTTCAATGTTCTAAATATTTCAAGAGTCCATATCAGTTCCCAAAGTAATGTTGAATTTTTTCTACAGTCAAATGAATAAAGCAAGTGAAAATGAACTGATTCTGAATTTTAGCCTCTACTTACTAAGACAAACCAATGGATAATGTATTTTTAGAAAGAAAACTTATTCAAAACATCACATATAAAAAAGTGTTTTCCAAGGCTTTTATTGGATCATTAAATCATTGGAATTTATTTCATGTATATTTCTCTGCAATTTCAGAATATAAATCGCATGAAACAGATATCTTCGATCACCAACCACGAGCTGAAGATGATGCAGGATGACCTCAGTTTTAAGTCTACTGAAATGAAGAAATCACAAAGTACAGCTAGAAATTTGACTTCAGGTAAGAAAACAGCCATGCTTTTGATATCCTTCTTTTTCCCCCTGAGGCAAATAAGAGATCCATATTTGTGCCTGCTCCAAAGAAAAGTGACCCAACAGAATATGCTAGTTGTCAAACAGTATCATTATTCATATCACATGCAAGTAAAATTTTGCTAAAGATAATTAAAACACAACTTCAGCAATGCATTGACAGGAACTTCCAGAAATTCAGGAACCCTGGTGTGGCTCTGTGAGATAAAGCACTGGACTTCAAGGTCAGTTTGAACCAAAAGATTGGCTGTTCAACCTCACCAGCTGCTCCTCTGAAACCCTATACAAGGTCACTATGGGTTGTAACTAACTCAGCAGTACTTAGAAGCAACAAAACTAGAAATTCAAAAGAGGATGTAGATCAAGGGATATCATTGCTGATGTCAGATGGATCATCGCTGAAAGCAGAAAATACCAGAAAGATGTTTACTTGTGCTTTGTTTACTATGCAAAAACTTTTGACTGTGTGAATCTTGACAAGCTGTGGATAACATTGCAAAACATGAATATTCCAGAACACTTAATTTTGGTCATGAGGTAGTTATTCTAACAGAACAAGGGAATACTGAATGGTTTAGAATCAGGAAAGCTGTACGCCAGGGTTGTATTCTATTGCTATATTTATTTAATCTGTATGCTGAGCAAGTAATATGAGAAGCTGGATTATATGAAGAACATGGCATCAGACTTGGAGGAAAACTCATTAACAACTTGCAATTTGCAGATGATAGAAACTTGCTTGTTGGCAGAGAACTTGAAATACTTATTGATGAAGATCAAAGACCACAGCCTTCACTATGTAAAGAAAACAAAAATCCTCACAACTGGGCCAATAAATAACATCATCATAAATTGAAGTTGTCAAAAACTTCATTTTGCCTGGATCCTTTACTAATACTCATGGAACTGGCAGTTAAGAAATTAAGCAACATATTGTATTAGGCAAATCGGCACAAGACCTCTTTAAGTGTTCAAGAGCAAAGATGTCAGTTTGAGGACTAAAGTATACCTGACCCAAGCCATGGTATTTCCAATAGCCTCATATGCATGTGAAAGTTGGACAATGAGTAAGGAAGACTGTAGAAGAATTGATGTATTTGAGTTATGGTTTTGGAGAAGAATACTAAAAGTACCATGGACTGCCAGAAGAACAAATCTCTATTGAAAAAAATCCAACCAAAATTCTCCTTAGAAGCCAACAAGACAAGACCTATCTCTAATACTTTGGACATGTTATCAGGAGGGACCAGTCCCTGGAAAAGGACACTTAATCAAGCATAATAAAGTGGAGGGACACCCCAAAAGAGGAAGACCCCTAATGTGATGGACTGGCATAGTGGCAGCAGCAATGGGCTGAAACATACCAATTGTAGGGATGGTGTAGGTCCAGGCAGTGTTTGGTTCTGCCGTGCAGAGGGTCAGTATGAGTGAGAACCATGCCGATGGCACTTAACAACTCAAGAAGGCAATTAGGAATTTTGAATATTTGTTAACATTATTTTCTTTGAGTTTTTTGAAAGCCTCACGTCATTTGAATAATGATTGCCTATTGCCTCAGTCATTTGTGTTGCAGAATTGTGTGATCTTTTTGTCATCTTATTAGTATTTCATTGTGATATTCTCATTTAGTTTACTAACATTTATTGAATACTTAATGGAGTTCTGTGATACAGTGGTTAAAGTTTCACTTGGCTAACCAAAAGGCCAGTGGTTTGAATCCATCAGCTGCTCTGCTTCAGTAAAGATTACAGCCTTAGAACCCTATAGGGCAGTTCTACTCTGTCCTAGAGGGTTCCTATGAGACAGAATCAATTTTATAGCAATGGGTTGGGTTTGGTTTTGGTATTGAATGATTGCTCTATACCTTGGTGTAAGCTGGATATATTAAAAAACCTGCACCATTGCTATTGAGTCAGCTTTGGACTCCAGACAAGCCCATGTGTGTCAGTGGCAATGCACTCCTTAGAGTTTTTAAGACTGTGACCTTTCAGAGCAGGCTTTTCTTTCCAGGTACCTCTGGGTGGGTTCTAACTGCCAACCTTTCAGTGAGTGTAAATCACTAAACGCTTTACACCATCCAAGGACTCCAGTGTATGTAGACAAAGGTGAATATTTGAAATTCCGACTGTGTGTTAAACTTAGTGGTCTGTCTGACAAATAAATAATTATTAATATGATAAAATAGTACTTTAGTAGAAGTAAGCATAAGGATTGATAGCTTTACATAGGACACACATCTAGTCAAGTCTTGAGTAGTCAACAGAGACGTCCTGGAGGAGATAATGTTTTTATTTTAATTAGTTTCAACCATGCTGACTAGGAAGCATCTAGGGCAGTGCTGTAGAATCAGAATGCCAGCTACATATCTATTGTTGTTGTTAAGCGCCTTCGAGTGTGTTCTGACTCATCTCAACCCTGTGCAGGGTTTCAGAGTGGCTGGTGTGTTTGAACCACATACCTAGTGGTTAGCAGTCCATTGCTTATCCTACAGAGCCACATTAGGACTCTAGCCATATTTATTGTTTAGTATTTTCTAATAGCCATACTGTTGATGTTCAATGCTGTTGAGCTGGTTCCAATTCATGTTGTTGTTCTTGTTAAATGTCATCAGGTCTGTTCCAACTCATAGTGGCCCTGCATAGGGTTTCTGAACCCGTAAATCTTTGCAGAGCAGAAAGCCTCATCTTTTTCCCTAGGAGTGACTGATGGGCTCAGTTGTTTGCAGTTGAGTGCTTATTCTATGGAATCACTGCTTTGCTCATAGTCACATTAAAAAAATATAAATAAACAGATGAGATTAAGTTTAGTAATATATTTTCAACCCAATTTAAGTAAAATATTATAATTTCAATATATAATCAATATAAAAATTATTAAATGTGCTGATGGCAGAATCTTTCAGACACGTTTCCCCGGGTCAAAGTGGTTTTTATTGTCTGCTGTGGGGTCAGTTCAGACTCATAGTGACCCTGTATAGGGCTTCTGAGGAGTGACTGGTGGATTTGACCTACCAACACTTACAGTTAGCAGTCCAGTGTTTATTTTATAGCACCACACCAGGACTTTTGTTATTATTGCTGTTAAGTACCATCGAGTCTGTTCCAACTCATTGCAACCCTGTATAGGGTTTCTGAGGGGCAGCTGGTGAGTTTGAACCACTGACTTTTGGGTCCAGTGCATTATCCTGCAGCACCACACCAGGTACAACTGTGGCAGATCTCAATTCAGATTTGGCACATTGTAAGTACTCAAATATCACATACGGTTAGTGGCTGTCTTTTGGATGGTACTGCCATGTCAAGGAGAGATATTTAATAATCAACATATATACCTTATATTGAGAGTGCTGTGACCCTGTAGGATAAGCACTGGACTGCAAACCATTCTATAAATATGGAGTCTAGGTGTGGTGCTTCAAACCTACCAGCTACTCTCAGAAACCTTATGCAGGGTCATTATGAGTTGGAACCAAGTCCACGGCACTTGACAACAACCATATCTATCTATCTATCTATTATATCTATATGATATATTATTAGGGGGAAACCTGTAAAGAGACTTCTGGGGGACAATCACGAAAGAAAAGGTTGAGAAACACTGGTGTACTGCGTGAGTAAAGAGGCAAAGACTCTGTCAGCAATAGTTTTTATTTGTATTTTTGGAAAGGAAACTCCAGGGAATAAACAAATGTGCTGATGGCAGAATATTTCAGACACATTTCCCCAGGTCAAAGTGGTTTCTTCTGAGATTTTGCTACTATGTACACACTGCTTGGTAAACTTTGCAACTTCACAGCATATCAGAAGGAACTAGACTGCATCCTCTTCCTGTCTCTTCCCTTAGAAAAGCTTTCAGCTTTTCAGAAACCTGTTGTTAAAGGAAGATAAACTTTACCCTATACCAACTAGCCGTTTTCTCCTAGAAAAAGGCAATTCTAGAAAAAAAAAAATCAATTTGTATATCTCCTAATATATTTTCCTAATATTAATTTGTCTCCAAATGAAACTTACAGTTAGATGTATATAGCTGTTCTCAGCAGACAGTCAAAACATCTGCAGGTTAAGTCCATTTCCTATTTAGAGCATTGAAATATCATAAGCCCATTTATTTTTCAGCAAATGGATTCTCCCCATAACTATTCCCAGCCCGACAGAGATAGGAATTCAACAACACAAAGCCCCCACTTCTCAACAGCACTCAAGTCCTGCCATGTTATCAATATTTGTTATATGTTGTAAGAGAACCAGAGAAGAAGGCTTGCAAAGGAGGGAGGCTGAGTTAGAAGCTGTGTATAAATGTCACCCTAATTCTTAACTGCTGAACTATACATACATCTAATAGACGCCAGGAAAAAAAGCAGCAGCCAAAAGCTGAAAAAAACTTTAGATGCTGCTCACCCCAGTGGAGACAGAGCTTGAGTTTGCACCCAGTAAAGCTTATTGAATCTCACTATAATGAAAAGCAACTCTTTAAAGGAACACAGAAAAACCTAGAGTTTCTACAACATATCATTTACAATGTTCAGTATGCTGTAAAAAAATTGCTAATGTGAAAAAAACAGGAAAGTATGACTCAAGAGGAAGAGCAGTCACTATTCAGTGTACCTGAGAGGACCCACAAACTGAGATGGAAAATTAAAAAGAAGTTGAAACTTTATAAACATGTTGAAGGGCTTAAAGAAAAACAAAGTCATAATAAACGAGCAGATGGGGAAGCTCACAGAGATATGAAAATTATAAAAAAGAATCAAGTGAAAATTCTAGAATTGGCAAATACAATAAAATGAAAAAATTGCTTAATAATCATAAGAGATTGAAGATAGCAGAAAAAAGTGATTGAACTTGAATTAAGCTAGCTCACAATGGCCCAATCTGAAGAATAAAAAAAATGGAACCAGGAGAGGACACCAAGAATAATGGAGATAATATAGTGGAAGAAATAATGACTGAAAATTTCCTAAATGTGATACTAAAACTTTAAGCTTACAGATGCAAGAAGCTCGTTGAACTCCAAGCAGGATTCATACAAAGAAAATCACACCTATGTGTGATTTGTATGGATCTGACTTGTAGTGAACTTGTGTAGGGTTTCTAAGGAGTGGCCAATGAGTTTAAACCACCAACCTTGTGTTTCAAACCAATCATGTGGTCCAGTGCTTTATCCCACAGCACCACACCAGGACTCCATAATATAGTGTAGTGTGTTGTTGTTGTTAAGTGCCATCATGTCAGTTCCAACCCACAGCAACCCTGTCTAGGGGTTTCGAGGAGCAACTGGTAAGCTTGAACCACCAACCTTCTGGTTCATACTGATTTTGCAGTCCACCAGGACTATAGTATAGTAACCATAAAACTATAAAATAGTCATATATATATATATATATATATATATATATATATATATATAATTTATTTTTTTCATATAGCTTTGTGTGTGTGTGTGTGTGTGTGTGTGTGATTGGCCTTATTAAAAATAATGGGTCTGGTGCTGTGGTTTAATGTGCAGGACTGCAATGTTGGTTTGAACCACAAGGTCAGTGGTTCAAGTTCACCAGCCAACTCAACAGGACTTAACAACAACTACAGTATATTTTATTAGGTAAGAAAAAATGCCTATGTATATTCTTACATGTTTGTATGATTCCGGAGGCTGCTGTAGCAAATATATATCAGGTAACACTGATTCCAGAGGTTCAAGCCGGATTCAGAAGAGGCCGTGGACATCATTGCTGATGTCCGATGGGTCTTGGCTGAAAGCAGAGAATATCAGAAAGATGTTAACCTATGCTTTATTGACTATGCAATGCCTTTTGATTGTGTGGATCATGATGAGCTATGGACAACATTGTGAAGTATGAGTATTCCTGATCACTTAATTGTGCTCATGAGGAATCTGTACATGAACCAAGAGGCAATTGTTCAACCAGAACATGGGAACACTGAATGTTTTAAAATTAAGAAAGGTGTGCGACAGGGTTGTATTCTTTCACTATACTTATTCAACCTGTATGCTGAGCAAATAATCTGAGAAGCTGGGTTCTATGAAGAAAAATGTGGCATCAAGATTGGAGGAAGACTCATTAACAACCTGCAATATGCTGATGATACAACCTTGCTTGCTGAAAGTGAAGAGGACTTAAAACATTTACTGATGAAGATCAAAGAGCACAGCCTTCGGTATGGATTGCATCTCAATGTAAATAAAACAAAATTCCTCACCACTGGACCAATAAACAACATTCTTATCAATGGAGAAAAGATTGAAGTTGTCAAGGACTTCAGTCATCCTGGATCAACTATCAACACTCATGGAAGTAGCAGTCAAGAAATCGTATGATGTATTGCATTGGGCAAATCTTCTGCACAAGACCTTTTTAAAGTGTTGAAGAGCAAAGATGTCAGCTTGAAGACTAAGGTGCGCCTGATCCAAGCCATGGTATTTTCAATAACCTCATATGCATGTGAAAGCTGAGCAATAAATAAGGAAGACCGTAGAAGAATTGATGCTTTTGAGTTATGGTGTTGGAGGAGAATATTGAAAGTGCCATGGGCTGCCAAAAGAACCAACAGATCTGTGTTGGAAGAAGTGCAGCCAGAGTGCTCCTTGGAGGCCAGGATGGCCAAGCTTTGTCTCTCCTACTTCGGACATATTGTCAGGAGGGACCAGTCGCTGGAGAAGGACATCATGTTTGGTAAGGTGGAGGGTCAGAGAAAAAGGGGAAGACCCCCAGCGATATGGATTGGCTTCGATGGACTCAAGTGTGGCAACAATAGTGACATTGGCCCAGGATCGGGCAGTGTTTTGTTCTGCTGTGCAAAAGGTCACTATGAGTTGGCACTGACTCTGTGGGACCTAATAACAACAACAACACTGGTTATCTGGGGATAAGTGGTTTTCTTCGTAAGTTATCTTTATATTGTGTCCCTGGTTATGGTGAACCTTTGTTATTTTTGCAGCTATGCACCTAAAATATGATATTTAGTGCTTGCATTACATTTTCTTATGTGAAAGGAAGAAAGCTTTGATTGATTCTGGCCTTGGGTTCCTATGTTTCAGATAGTCAGCGTCTGCAGTTGGATCTACAAAAAATGGAGCTTCTGGAAAGTAAGATGACTGAGGAGCAACATTCTCTAAAAAGTAAAATTAGGCAAATGACTATTGATCTGGAGACATATAATGATTTGCCAGCTTTGAAATCATCAGGTGAAGAAAAGAAAAAGGTATACACTAACAGAATCTTATGAAATTACAATTCAAATAGTTTCTTCTTGATCAAATTGAACATATATGTAGTATGTGGGATTCATTATCTTTAGTTGATTGTTTGATACATGTGTTAACAAAGATTAATAGAACTGTTTACTATAAGGCACTTAGTAAACAGTTCTATTAATCTTATCATGGGAGAAAGATGAGGTTTTCTGCTCCCATGAAAATTGAGAGCCTCAGAAATCCTTTGGCATCCACTTGATGATACTTAACAACAACAACAACATACTAAGCAGAAAGCATCAATTTAAAGGGAGGCAACAATTTAAAAGGACTCAGGAACTACTTCAAACCCGATTGTTGCCAAGTTGACTCTAGTTCCTGATGACCCCATATGTGTCATAGTAGAATTGTGCTCCGTAGGGTTTTCAGTGAGTGACTTCGCAAAGAGGTCACCAGGCTTTTATTCTGAGGAGCTCTGTGTGGACTGGAACCTGTAACCTTTCATTAGCAGCTAGGAACATTAACCATTTGCACCATGTAGGAGCTCCAAGGTGCTAAATTATATGGAGTAATTCACCCAATATGATCTTTAGAAACTTTCATATTTGATTATGATGCTTCTCTGCTTGTCAGTGGTTTTTCGTTGCTATTTACATTTTCATTTAGAGTAAATTTGTTGGGGTAGGGGCAAATGTGGCAGCAGTAGGAGTTAGTCTTTATATAGTTAATATTAACACAGCTGTTTATAGCTCAAAGGGCATTTTTACAAATATGTTTTAGAGTACTTGTAGTCTTGGTAAAAATTTGTTAGATTTCAGTCACTGAAATTATTTGTCAAGTACAGTTTGTGTTGGCTTGCCAGATAACTGGTATTTGCCTGTTATTTGCTTCTATTTGGCTTTATGTAGAAATTACATCAGGAGAGAACAGTATTATCAACTCGTAGAAATGCCTTTAAGAAAATAATGGAGAAATTAAACACAGACTATGAGACACTGAAAACACAACTACAAGAAAATGAGACACATTCCCAGGTAAGAAAAAAAAAAAAACATCTTTGCAATTCATTTCTCCTTTGAGATTCTCTGTCCAGTTCTATTAATTAATATTTTTACCTCAAAACACTCTTCTGGCTTTGAAGACAGCCAGATTCTCTACAGTCTCCACTCACAGTGAATTAGCTGCTGCCTTCCTGCCTTCTCCCTGTCCTTGCTAGACCCATTAGGACAGTCTGAGTACTAGTTTTTAAAATGTTAAAAATTAAGCATTTTTATTGCAGAAATAGTGAAAACCCATAAAAATCACAAAATAGACCCTAACAACCTGTATGTATTTCACAACTCAGAAGAGGTAACTCATATTGTCATTTGACATGGGTCCTCCTCCTCCTTGGCTGTATGTTATGTGCCTGTACACGTTTATATATGCATTATACTTTTCAGACTACAAGACACTGAGAACACAGTTGCAAGAAAATGAGACTTAAATACCTCTGCATTTATTTTTACATTGGTAGATATGGCATCATGTTATTCTTGAAACTTGCTTTTTAATGATTTAACTGTGTATCGTAAATACTACTTTGCCTTGTCAACAGGCGATTTGTTTTTGTTTTTAAACTATGATTGCTAATAGTCCTGGACCACGAACCATAGAGTTGTCAGTTCAAACACACGGGTCGCTCCCTAGAAACCCTATATAGGATTGCTATGAATCGGAACAGACTCAGTGGCCTTAGCAACAACAACAGTAGATGTATTAGCAATCATGTTGTTATTAGATTCTGTCAAGTTGGTTCTGACTCATAGCCACCCTTTGAACAACAGAATGAAACACTGCCCTGGCCTGTGCCTTCCTCACAATTGTTTGTTTGACCCCATTGTTGCTGCCACTGTGTCAATCCATCCTGTTTGGGGTCTTCATCTTTTTTGCTGACCTTCCACTTTACCAAGCATGATGTCCTTCTCCACGTACTGGTCCCTCCTCACAATATTTCCAAAATAAGGAAGATGAAGTCTCACCATCCTCACTTCTAAGGAGTATTCTGGTTGTGCTTATTCAAAGACAGATTTGTTAGTTCTTCTGGAAGTCTGTCCATTGTTGTTGTTGTTAAGTGCCATCAAGTTCGTTCTGACTCATAGTGACCCTCTATAGGGTTTCCAAGAAGTGGCAGGTGCATTTGATCCACTGACCTTATTATGATTCAAATCGACCTTGCAGTCCAGTGCTTTATCCCACAGTGCCACACCAGTCCATAGAAATTACCAATTAGCTGTGTTGGGTCTTGGTGTGGCACAGTAGGATAAGCACTGGACTGCTAACAGCAAGGTCAGTGGTTCAAATACATTAGCTACTCTTCAGAAACCCTAAACAGGGTTGCTGTAAATCGGAACTGATTTGATAGAACTTAACAACAACAATTTCAATGCACAGTGACCCTGTATAGAGTTTGCAAGGAGTGGCTGTTGGGTTTGAACCATCGACCTTGTAGCTAGCAGTTCAGTGCTTATCTTGCAGTGCCATACTAGGACCTGTGTAATATTCTATTACATGAATATAGTATGATTTACTTAGCTAATTCCCTAACATAGGATCTTTGGTTACTTCTAGTTTTAAAACTGTTCACATAATGCTTTAAAGAGCAGTCGTATCCTTGAACTTCTTGAGTCACATCGCTGATTATTTATACAAGATGCCCATACATAATGCCCATAGTCCACTTCTCATCTCTTTCATCCCACTGGTAATTACCTGAACAATGTTGGAGGTTATTCTAGATTGTAAATGCTGTAAGAATATTTTATACACACTAAATGTATTAGAAGTTTATTTCTATTTTTTGTAGAAATGGGATCATATTATATGTGTTATATTAGAATTAGATAGGAAATTTAGCCCTGGAAATGAGGAAGCCTCACTTATATAATTGAGCCTTTGATAATTTTAGAATAAATCTTCTGTTTGTGGCATTAGGCTTCCAGATTTCAAGGATAGATTCTCATCATGTCCCATTCTTCTTTTCAAGTTCTTTTACTAATAAGATCATGGTAGAAAAAAAGAATGTCATTTGATTTCCCACCAACTGGGAATAACCAGCATTAACATACTATTGTATATCCTGGTAGAGTTTTGTCTCTTTTGAATTATACATGCATATTAATAATATTGTTTTTATTTTTAAAATGGTATCATAATACAGTCTTTAGCCATTTATTTTCTTAGTTATTTTCAGTCACTTTGCTTTTTCAATGACATTTTTATGACAACAGCTATTCCATTAGGTGGTTATAATATTTTTTAAAAAGCTTACGGTCTTCTGAAAATAGTGGTGGTGGTGTGCTGGGAAGTCGGTTCTGACTCATAGTGACCCTGTTCAGGGTTTATGAGACTGTAAATCTTTATGGGAGCAGAAAACCCCATCTTTCTCCCATGGAACAGCTGTAGTTTCAAACTGCTGACCTTGAAGTTCACAGCCTGACTCATAATCACTATGCTATCAGAGCTCTTTTCTGAAAATAGAAGAGTCTCATAAGTTTTGCCACACTACTAAAAGTTTATAAATCACTAATTTACAAAATTCAAATGACCAGTTATTTTGTCTATTCGTAATGTATAAACCTAAATACAGACTTGTAAGTGACAAGATAATCTTGGACTGTTTAGAGTGGGATGGGTACTGGAGAAGAAATCTAAGAAAAAGTTTGTGAGGTTGTTGCATTAAGTAATTCTTAGAAAGGAGTATTTCAATTTCTTATAGAATATTTGCCCCCCTCTTCCATGAATGATGTTTTCCTCCTTATATCATCTAGTCAGTGGATACTTGTTCATTCCCACATCAGGTGCTAATCATATTCTCAACTCTGTTGATAACAACAAATCCTAATATCAAAGCCACCATTTAAAATCTTCTGTAATGTGTGATCAGATGAAATTCTGATGTCCCTATCTTTTGAAACTGGCTTTTTACATCTGTAAATAATATTGGTCAACACACTGTCTAATAAGGTGTGTTTTTCTTGTTGGGCACTGTTAAGTGGATTCTGCCTCATAACAACCCATGTGACACTGTAGAATTGCACCATAGGGTTTTCTTGGCTGTAGTTTCTATGAAGCAAATTGCCAGGTCTTTCTGTATCAGAGCCAGCCGCTGCAGAGTCAGTTTGGCAACCTTTTGGCTATAGCATTATTCATAGAACTCTTAAGAGATCTGTGGAATTACATAGCCCCCTATTTGAATGTCCTGGTGTGGTGCTGTAGGATAAGCACTGAACTGCTAACTGCAAGGTTGGTGATTCAAACTCACCAGCCACTCATTGGAAACCCTGTACAAGGTCTCTATGAATTGGAACCAACTTGACTGCACATAACAAAAACAACAAATTTTTTTGTGACACAAAGGAAAAAGTCTAATACTTGGACATTGCAAATGATTATTATAGATTTACTGCTAAGTACTGCCTGCCTTTTTGAGTCTTTCTTAACTTTAAGGCCCTACCTGGGGGAGCTAGATCTGATTAAATAGTGTCGTTAACTTACAACAATACAATTCACACAATTATTTCATTACAATTCACGTCTGATATCTAGATTTCTCTCTTTGGAGAAAGCAATGGAATAGATACTACAAAACTGAACTTACGCCTTGAAAATAAGTTGGCATAAGGCTAGTAAGAAACATTAAGGGTACTTCAGTAAGCAGATTTTTAAATGTGAGCACCACTTATTTGAAACGTCCAGGATGAACAACATTATTTGTGTGTTCCATTTTTCAGACGTCCTTTGCCTAGGGAAAAAGCGATGTGCTTCTTAAAAAAGAAAGACTGTAACCCAGAGTTACAAGGTTAATTAAATCAGAAAAACAATTTAATTCTATAACAGTAAAATTGTCTTCTGAGGAAGCAACCATCAATATAATATCCACATTAGCTTCCTGTTGATGCAGAAATTATTGTAACTATGCCAACTTTTTTGCCAGCCCTTTTATAATCTTCACACTGCAGCTCTGTTCTTATCACAGCTTGTAGAATTAGACAGGAAATTTAGCCCTGGAAATAAGGAAGTTTCTCCTATATAGTTGAACCTTTGATAATTTTAGAATATATATTATATTTCTGGCATTAGAGTTCCAGATCTCAAGGAGAGATTCTCATCATGACTCATTTTTCTTTTCAAGTTCTTTTAACAACATCAAAAAAATAATAAATTGTCTTTCATTGGCATGTTTATTGTTATAATTAATATTTTTAAGTTAAAATAGATATATAGAGTAAAATCTATTATAGAATTTAGCATTGTATTTATTGATGTTTATTTGTTTAATTGTTCACAATATGTATGCATGTGTGTACCATGGCTTTATCTTTATAAAAAACAAGAATTTGATAAGATTTAAAGTTGAAGTTTTTTTCTTATCCTCTTAAAAGGAGCATAATTGTTTTGAATTTGGGCACTTGCTAACATTTTTCTTTGTGTTTTTAGCTTACAAATTTGGAGAGGAAGTGGCAACATCATGAACAAAATAACTTTGTGATGAAAGAATGTATCCTTTAAAACTTTGAAAATGAACTTGACTGCATGATTGTTTTTCACAGACGTAAATTCTTTTAAACTGAATTCACCATGTGCATATCAAATGCCTAATATGTACAAAACACTGAGTTAAACTAAGTAGGTATTAATGATAAAGACTTAATTTTACTCTACAGGAGTTAAGAGATATAGACATAAATACAGAAAACCATATACGGAAGTAAGTTACAAAATATTGCTACAAAATAATGGAACTCTTATTAAACAATAATTTAAAATGTGAAGCTATTGTTTCTCGGCATGTCCTCCACCAAGGTTTATACACTTCTGAAACCAATTTTTACATCTCTCTCTAACCCTTTCCTGAATTTTGTGCTCTTCATTTTCACCCCATAAAAACAAAAATAACAGTTTAGGAATACTCAGGTCACACAAATCATGTTCCTTTTCAATGTCCTTTGAGTTTAGGGAATTAAAAGAATTCTGAAGGAGCAAGATCAGGGCTGTGGGGAGAACGGAGTAAGATTTCTCCATGAAACTCTTGCAGGACAGCCCTTGCTACCCTTGAAAAGTGAACAGGTTTATTGTCGTGATGGGAAAAAAGTTCCATGACACAATTTTGCTGACCTTTTTCTCACCAGGAAAATTCTTCAATTTTCAGTTGTCTTAAAAATTCTTTATAATAAGCCACTGTGTTCGTATTTTATCCTTTGAGAAAGTCTACCAAGATTACCCCTTTGCAATTTCCCCAAAGCAGTTAACACAACCGTCTGAACTGAGTTCTCTGCCTTGCTCATCTTTGAGCTGTCCCCAACCTTCCTTAGAACACTTGATCCACCTAAAACCTGTTGTTTTATATGAGGCAGCATTCCGATAAACTTGTCGCAAAGCTTCAGTGATTTGGGAAGATGTCCATCTGATATTTATTTAAAATTTGAAATTAGCATTGACCTCGAAATTATTTTTTCCCCATGGCACAAAAAGTATTCTTTTTAATTGAAGGCATCCTAACATGACTTAGACAAGTGCATTATTTAGAGAACTAGTCTTCAGCCATCTGCTAATTACAGAGAGATGCTTAAACAGGCTTTCTTTACAATAAACCTGTGCACACATGAATTGGAACCCCGACAGCAATACTTTTTGACCCATTCTCATATATGTACCAAAATGCATAATAGTACTCAGAAATGCCAAAAAGGGGTACAAAGTTATAATGCTGCATGATGATACTGCACACAAATTTTGGAATCGGGTCTGATCTAGTTTTAAAAGTTGACTTTTGACTCTTACAAGCTATGGCTTCAAGAAATTTATTTAATCGGCCTCAATTTTATCATCACTAAATTACATACAGGTAATGCTTCTTTCTCAGAATATATATAAACATAGTGCAGTAATGACTATGTTATTGTTAGGCGCTGTCAAGTTGGTTCCTACTTGTAATGACCCTATTCAGGTTTTCTGAGGAGTGGCTGGTGAGTTTGAACCCAGTGGTTGTGGATAACAGTCCAGTGTTTATTTTGGAAGGAAACAACTGCTGAGGAAATGCAATATGAAACTGTAAGAACATTTCTCACAGATTTGTCTCCTGTTCCCTTACCCAATTCAAGGGCATCTCGGGATCATAGGAGACAGCAATTTCTGAGGTAGTGTATTATGGATTTGTAAGGAACACTTCTCCAAAACTTGCTTCTTGTTCCCTTCTTTGACACATTCAGGACATCTCTGCTTGAGATGAGATCTTGATTTAGTGGTAGGGTAGCTTCTCTTTTAGGGTGCTGCTGAATAGCAGTTCTCAGAGGCAGCAGGGGGACCCCAGCTTATCTCTAGAAAAGATGCTTTAGGCACTCTGTTTCCATTGGTGTGCAACTTAGTGTACAAACAGAACACTTACAATCGCAGTATGTGAAAAATCTAGGTTTTGTACAACACCAAAAGGGTGATTTTGAATCAGAATAAAATCTAGAAACTTGCCTGAGTTGCTATGTTTTATTCTGGAAACTGTGATTCTTCTGAACATTAGGTTTTTCTAAAACTAGAATTGGATTGAGTTAGATATAGTGTTAACTATGAAGAAGCCTTTTCACTATGGGTGAGCTTTTTGAAACACATTTTGCTTGTCCTTTCAGATTTTAATTGATGCTTAACCTGTAAAAATAACATGGTGGTGGTTTTAAAAAATAACACTCTCTGTAACATCTTCAGTTTTCATTTTAAAAATACCAATATGATTTGGTTCCTTTCTGAGCTATAGTTAAGGGACTATTTCTATTGGCGATGTTTCCCCTTAACTTGTAATTAGTCATAGCAGCCAAGAGTCAAGAGAGTGATTACCGGCCAATTATGAAGAATGTGAGCAAGCAGATTGCAGAATACAATAAAACCATCGTGGATGCGCTACATAACACTAGTAGAAACTGAGGTGAAATCAGCTACAAGTCTCGACAGAAGCAAAACTTTGTACAAGCCGACCAATAAGCAATAACTTCCCTTTGAAAAGTTATACTAAAAATTTCTGAATGCTGTCATTTTTGTGACCTCTTTGAAGAATGATAGTTAAAATAACATCATAGTTCAATAAATAGTTTACATATTGAAAAGTAACTTCTTTTTAACATTTTGTGTGTGTGTGTGTGTGGGGTTTGATAAACATGTGTTAAGGAAGTAGGAGTTAAAGAAACAAAAGTGACCACAGAGGTCATTGCTTCTGTAGCCCAGTTATGGCCACAAATGAGTTATCTTTTCAGGTGTCAGCGAGGAGGAATACCTGCAGTATAATTCTGATTTAGCACTTACATCAACCAGATCAATTTTTGCTTCTAGAAAAAGATAGTAAGAATATGTACAAGGGAGATGGTTGGCTTTGAGCTTTATTTCTCAATTATGGAATATTTGATGCATTTCAGAGCATATAAAGTCACAGTTAAATATATAACATACTCTTTCCATATCATCCCTAAAGAGTTGCAAATAAAAGCTAATATTTATGCTACTAAAAGATTTTTGTCATATGTCTATACCAGTACAAACATGAGACTTAAAATTACTGATGTGCATATGGTGAGCTGTTTTGAGCTATGGCTCATTCACACTGTGTAGAAAACATTCATTCTCTTGTAATTCTAGGAAGATGTGAGTAGATTAATTTATAAGCATTGGCCAGAACATAGGAAAGGAAAAGTTGGACATCGAAGTGTATAGTATTTATCCAGCAGTGTAGGGAAGAGTGGTGGAGAATCTGAGAGACTCCTAGTAACTAAAGGTGTATTTATTCTCCCTTATGGGACAGGAATGAGTCACCTTGACCAACATAAAATATTCTTTTAAACTTTCTTGTCACAGCATATTCCTTAAATCTCTCTCCCTTTTGCTCTGTTCTCAAGTTCACAAAGTGTCTCTAATCCATATTCCTTAAATGAAGCAGATTAATTTCTTTAAAAATAACAGCAATGACAGAAAAACAGATTTATTGAGACATGATTCATATACATAAAATGTACCTATACATAGTGATTTCTTGAAGTAACTATTTTGCACTGTAAATGATTTGGCATGATTCTGTGTGAGTCTAGGGAGGAGGTGAGCGTTGGCCATGCAAAACTCTGATATGGGTGAAGACCCTGTGCAGTGATACATCCAGTAAGGTTTTTTCCTAAAATATTTTCCTCGCGTTTTGAGTCCCTCAGGTTGGTAACAGGTGTTATACTACCAAAGGACCCATGGTATTGTTATGGAGTATCGAGGACCTTGTGTAGGGTTTTCTAGAATCCGCTGGTGGCTTTGAACCACCAACCTTTCCAGGTAGCAGTCCAGTGCTTACCTGATAGCATCACACCAGGACTCCAAAGGCTCCATTTTTTGTTTTGTTTTTAGCTGCTGTCGAATCAGTTCTGACCCGTAGTGACCCTGAATAGGGTTTCCAAGGAGCAGCTGATGAGTTTGAACTGCCGACCTTGAGGTTCAAACTAACCTTGTGGTTGAGCGCTTATCCTATAGAGCCACACCAGCACTCCAAAGGATTCATAGTCAAAGAAATTTGAGAAACATTGTTTTAAACAAAAGTAAATTGTTTTCTTTCTTCTTGACTGCTCAGAGTCCTTAATATGTTTATGTACAACCATTTCAGGAGGAGTGAGTTTACAAAGCACTTCTGAAACATGTTTGTCCACAGAATGCTCGTTTTCACAGAGTGTACATCATAGGAGGCATGTGTTCTAAGAAACATATGTTCTAAGAGACATGAAGTTCTAAGACTTTATACACCAATACACTACTAATATGTTATCCTCCCAAATCTTTTGGACAACAATTCAGCCTTCTCCAGGTGATTTCTTAGTGTTTCCCTCTCTAATCACCATAGATTTCCTTTACCTTGGTTGTGTAGCGTTTTCCTTTGGCAATTAGGAGCAGAAATGTTTCTCACACTTAAAGGTAAAAAATAAACAGTATTCTTCACCTTTATGCTTCTAGAAGTTAAAGAGAATGAAATCTTAAATTCAGTAGGAATAACATGTAGGTGTTTGTGACATTTTTCTTAACCTTTTATTCATTCCTTTATAAAGTGACTGTTGACAATAGAAATTCAGAAGTAACTGCAGGTATGAGCGAAAGTCTGATTATGTAAGAACTGACTCTTACAGTCTCTTTATCACACTTCTTTCTGAGATGCTTACAAGGAGGAAAATAATCTGGGAAACATGTTTGTAGGTATGTATGTAATCTTATACTTCCCATTTCAAAGAGAATTCAAATGCCTCTATGTTTTACTACATTCATCATTTTTTTCTATTAATAGTAAGTGTTTTCTGTGAGCAGTGGGATTGTGTGTGGTTCTAATTTTAAATTTTTTTTGTATTTTTAAAATTATCTATAATGTATAAATAATACTTGAGAATGCAAGAGGAAAAAATATAAAAGTCCTATGCATAGTACTTTAACTTGTGGAAAGGAGATATGTAGTTAGCTTTAACTGGAATTGAACTAGTCTTTAACCAGAAATAAAATAGGAGGGAGATTGATATCCCTTAAAAATATGTGTTTGTATTTTAACAAAGAGGATTTTGGCAGGAAAAAAAACCCTAAAACCATTGAAAATTTCTTGAAAAAATAGGGTTTCCAACTTCCGTTCTAAATTACTCATATATGATATTTGGGGAACATAATTGAGAGCATTTCTTTAAACTAAAATGTGTTATCTGAGGGAAATGCTCATTAATGCCTCTTCCTTCCTGTCAGAACCTTCCAACAAATCCAACGAGACTATTCTCTGCTGGGATAGAGCTGGAAGCTAATATCTACACAAACCGGCTCTTCCTTAGTCAGTACATTGCTCAGTAAGTTCTATTCACATTAAAATAACACCTTGTAAGTCATGTGGAAAGAAATTGCAGACTGAACAAACATGCTGAGTTGTGTTATCAATGAACATCAACATGGGAAAGTTACTAGTCTTTGTTTTTCCCATCCTTATCGTTTATCAATAAGTAAACATGAAGTCTTGATATTCTTTTTCACTAACTGGGGAGTCCTTCCTGTGGCCAGTAGTCTGGTCTCACGTTAAGGTGCAAGATGCAGTGCCAGGCTTATAGCTTGGAGTAAAGCCATTCACAGTAGAGATGAAAGGCTAGCTAGTAAACTCCAGGGGTTCTTGCTGTCCCCTGGGCCAGTTTTTCTGTAACTCTTTCCTTTTGATGTATGATTCCAGCATAAACAATCTTAATAAATTACAGAGTTTAGATTTAAACTCAGGAGAAATCAATAATGTACCACAGAGAAAAAGAGGGAAATAAAAAAAACAACAGCAAAAAAGAGGAAGACTCCCAACTCGATGGATTGGCACAGTGACAGCAGCAATGGGCTCAAGTGTAACAAACATTGAGGCTAATGCAGGACTGGGCAGTGTCTTGTTCTGTTGTGCATATGGTCACTATGAGTCAGAACTGACTAGACGGTGCCTGAAAACAAGAGAATTACAGTAATCTATTTTTAAATTCATATTTTACCTTTCATTTCATGTACGTTTAAAAATAAAGAAGACATTATCTTAGAACTACAGATACACAGCTTGAGAACTAAATTGAACATCTTTAAAAAGACATTTTTAATACAAAAAAAATTTAGAAGTGAATGAAGAAAATAAATTACCTTAGACCTCACTAATCTCTTTTGATCTATACGTCTAGCATGCATATCTGTTACAATTTAATAAATTTTAAAACATTTTAAACTTTTGATATTTATAATTTTGCAAACATTATTGTACTTCATGTATTCTTGTATAAAAAGATGTTTCATCTTGAATACTATTCCATTATAGATTTTTTTTAAAACTTTTTATTGTGAATTGAGTGAACGTTTGCAGACAAGATCATCACCTTTACTTTCAACTAATTATACAATTTGTTTAATCTCAATGATTACAATCCCCCCTGCAACAACAGTTATCCTACTTCCTTCATGTGGCTCCCCATTTACATCTTATATTCCATAAATAAACAAAGCAAAAATATTTTATGTACACATCCAAAACAAAAAATACATACATTCATTAAAATGTCCATAGGGTACGTTCTGCAAGCCAGCCTCCTGCTGTCGGCACACAGTCCATGGGCCAGAGCCCGCAGCTGCTCTGTCTATGTCACCACCTCTGCCACCATCTCTGCTGTCACCTCTTTTCTAGGTAGGAATCTCATGTTATACTCATGTTCTTCTTGATGGTCGTGGGATCATCTGTTCCTGAAATGAAAGGCTTAATTACTCTCCCCTTTTAGTTACACATCTTCTATAATTACAGTTGTCACAATCACAATTAATCCTACTAACAGTTATTCACAATGGGATCATAAAATCCTGTCATCACCAGACCCATCTGGAAAAGAGGGAAACTATTCAGTGGGGATTCGACCTTACTCGCCTCATTCTGACACTAGCACACTCTTGGAAGCTTGGAAGCCAGCCACTCCATGCCATTGTAGCCTACCCTCCCCCCCAAATTTTTGATAGCCAATGTGTAAATTGCCCATCCCTATCAACCTGGTACACTGAGGAAGCAAGCTTGGTCCTTGATATGAAGAATCCCATTTGAGATTTTGAGCACCTGCATCCATAAGCAAATGTCTAGTTCATCATTTTGTAGCAATTTATACTTGCTGACAGTATCAAACATCTTTATCTGGTCGAGTTCTGGTCATTTAGCTATCCAAGCTAGGTCAAATGGGTACTAGCATCAAGTTTCAGAGTTCAGGCACACTTTCCTATACTTCAAACCAGCTAGCTGCTTCTCTCTCAACCCAACCTCCAGGAACTAGGCCAGTGCCCATGAGATCAGTAGTTCACACATCTTCCTAAACTTAAAAGTAGCCAGCCCTTCCTCTTCTCTCATCTCAAGGTCAACTGGTGTCAAAGGAACATGGTCAAACTCA